GTGGTCCTGGCAAGCCAGGCAAACCAGCGGCTCCTTTTTCACCAGGAAGTCCAGGCGCTCCATCACGACCCGGTTGTCCAGCGTATCCGGCATCTCCCTTCATTCCAGGCAAACCAGGGAGTCCTTCCTGTCCAGGTAAGCCAGCACTTCCTTTGAGTCCAGGGAAGCCTGGAGCTCCAGCATTTCCTTTAGGACCAGGGGCGCCAGGTAAACCAGGTTGTCCAGGATATCCTGCATCTCCCTTCATGCCAGGCATTCCATCAAGGCCACGATCTCCTGGTAAGCCAGGCAAGCCAGCATTTCCTTTTTCTCCTCTGATTCCAGGTACACCTGGGGCGCCCTGAAGTCCAGGAGCGCCAGGTTGTCCAGGAGCACCAGGTGCTCCAGTCTCGCCCTTCATGCCTGGTAAGCCAGGTAGTCCGTCTTTGCCTGCAGCACCACCTTGTCCAGGGTAGCCCTACAATTTATTTATTGGGTGCAGTTGATCATTATTGAGGACATAATACAAAGAAAAAACCTGCTCACCGGTTCACCTTTAAGACCAGGGAAGCCAGGCAGACCGTCTTGTCCTGGAGGTCCAGGAGGTCCAGGTCGCCCTGCTTTTCCAGGTACGCCAGGTATACCTTTTTCGCCAGGAATACCTGGTTGTCCATATCCAGGCAATCCGGACTCTCCCTTCGCACCAGGGATACCAGGTAAGCCAGGGGGACCCTGAGGACCGCGAAGACCAGGTTGGCCAGGCAATCCTTGCTCTCCCTTAGCTCCGTCAGCAGCAGCAGGTCCAGGTTCTCCTTTTTCTCCTGGTATTCCAGCAAATCCTCTGTCTCCTTTCATGCCAGGAAGTCCAGGGTATCCGTCTTTTCCAGGTGGTCCCGGTAGACCAGCATTTCCCTTCATTCCGGGTAGTCCAGGCATTCCAGGAAGACCAGCATTACCCTTCATTCCTTGTTGACCTGGTAATCCAGGCAGTCCAGCGTCACCTTAATGAGGAACATGATCGACTGTTCTTCTCTGACTAAAAGAGTGGGCTTACCTTTGCTTCCAGGTACTCCAGGAATACCGTTCATACCCTTCTGACCTGGGTAACCAGGGGCACCTTGCATACCAGGCTGTCCAGG